AAAGGAAAGCTCTTAAAGTGGGGGGGATCTCATGACTTTTTTTAGTTTTCTCTTAATTGTGTCTGTGAAAATGCCTTATCTCATGACTTTTTTTTTAGTTTTCCTCTTAATTGTGTCTGTGAAAATGCCTTTGAACTCTAATCAAAAATACTTCCAGTTGTGGCAGTGTAAAGCTGTGGCAGCACTGCTCTCCTGAGGACTGCAGTTCTGCCCTGTGTTAGCAATGGGGAGGACAAAGCTGCTTTGCAGTTTTTCAGTGTGATGTGCTTTTTCTGAGAGCTTCACCTGGGGTTAAGGAAGGGAGAATCAGCATCTTAGCCTTTCCAGCTGCAGCCTTGCAGCTGGGAGATCAGCACTGCACCCCTACAAACAGGCAGAGTTGAACTGGCTGTGGTGTGAGGGGGCAGCTTGGCTGTTCACCTCCTCATCTCCTGTTGCTCCTTGTTTTCCAGGCAGGTCCCATGCCCAAGCACGTGGCCTTCATCATGGATGGCAATCGCCGTTACGCCCAGAAGTGCCACGTGGAGAGGCAGGAGGGGCACTCACAAGGCTTTGATAAGCTGGCACAGGTGGGAAGGGGGTTTGCTGCCTTTGTGATGTGTTTCTTTTCTCCACTGGAATGCTTGGAGCTGATGTTTGTCACTAGGGTTCCCAACTTCAGCTCATTTTATTGTTACCTTGCTGAGTCATTCTAGTCAGCTCTTTTTTTCCCCTCCCCTCTGTTCTACTTTTCATTAAAATATCTGCCTTGCAGAGCTTGAAGCTTTTAATTCTGTGAAACAGGCTGAATTTCTTTGAAAAGGTTTTGAGGAGTATGATATTATATAATATTAATCTACAAGAAGTGCTTTTCCTGGCTGGATTTCCCATATCTGCTTTGGATTCTCATCCTTAGGTAGTGATCTTTTCCTCCTGTTCTTGAAAAATGAATACGAAGCACTCATCAAGAAAGGTTTTAGCAGAGGGGAAGCTGGGTCTTGCTGACCTCTCTGATTGTCTGAGTCTGTTTACCTGACTTGTGTTTTCCATTATATTTTGTCTCCTTGCAGACGCTGCGGTGGTGTTTAAATCTGGGCATCCAGGAGGTCACTGTGTATGCCTTCAGCATCGAGAACTTCAAACGCTCCCAGGAGGAGGTGGATGGACTGATGGATCTGGCAAGGCAGAAGTTCAGCCGCCTGCTGGAAGAACAGTAAGGATCCTCTCACATCTGTGTCCCACAGGGTGGGACTAAAGCAGAACGTGATGCTCTGGTGTCACAGGGATGCTGGAAGTTTGAAAGTGATGTTCAGTGAGGGAAGCCGTTCTCCAGCTCAGCAATTTGCTTTGCAGTAATTTAAGACTTTGACTCCTGGGCACATGCTGGACCTGTTGGAGTGGTTTCAGAGGAGGTCACAAAGATGATCTGAGGGCTGGAACCCCTCTGCTGCAAGGACAGGCTGAGAGATTTGGGGTTGTTCAGCCTGGAGAAGAGAAGGCTCTGAGGAGACCTTTTGTCAGCCATCATATATTTGAAGTGGGCCTATGAGAAAGTTGGGGAGTGATGGTTTTTTTTTACCAGAAAGTAGTTGTGTTAGTCTGGGTAACCTTTTGTCACCTCAATTTTTGATTAGTTATAGGTGCCCAGCATCTGTGGTTGTATTCTAAGTTTTCCATATAGGTTGTCATCATTTCAGACAGGAGTGTCTAATCTGTGATTGTTTTCTAGTCATTTGGTTATGCCTGTACCTCAGGAGCTTGAGCAGTTTCCCTTTATGGAATGGTTTGGGATGATCAAATCTAAGCCAGATTTCAAGGCCTGAAAAATTTTGGTGGCTTTGCCTTTTTGCAGCTCTCAGTTTTGCTGAGGCTGTGCCTGCTCCGTGTCTCTTTCACATGGTGGGTGTCGGTGTTACACAAGGTGGTGCTGGCACAGCAGAGACTGCTCTGTTTCCTCTAGTCCTGACCCCTCTTGTTGGGTGTAGGGAGAACCTGAAGAAGCATGGTGTGTGTATCCGTGTCCTCGGGGACCTGCCACTTCTGCCCCTGGATATCCAGGAGCTGATTGCCCAAGCTGTGCTGGCAACCAGGAACTACAACAAGTGAGTAACACAGTTTAAAGGAGCTGATCCCTCACATCTTCCTCTTCTCCCTGAAGGCTGAGACTTGGCAGACATGCTACCCCTCTTTTTTTCCTTGGTCCTACAAGCACACACAGCTGTTGTAGCTGTTATTCTCTGTAGCTACTCTTCTCTGTCGTCTACTGGACCTTCCTTAGGTTAGTCTTTCACACCTTTCTGCTTTTTGCAGATGCTTTCTGAATGTCTGTTTTGCTTACACCTCGAGACATGAAATCAGCAATGCTGTCAGGGAGATGGCGTGGGGGGTGGAACAAGGACTGCTGGAACCCAGGTAACTCCTGCCTCTGTGTGACCAAGACTGCCCCTCTTGCCACCTACGCTTGGTTAATAACCTCTGGGAAGCCAAGTGGCTTTTAAATCGAGCTCATTAAACCAGTATGACTGGAACAAATGACTGGAAGTTACTATGCTATGTTTGGATTTTATTATTTCGGTTACCATGGCAATAGATACACAACCAAGACAGGAGAGAAATTAGGTCTGTGTCTTAAGTTAGCTTAAATGTGAAGGCAGACTTTGTGCCACAACAATTGGCTGCTTGGCTGGCAGACTTAGTTATGAGGTCAAGCAACAGATGAGTTATGAGTACTGGAGTGTTCCTCCACCCTGGAGAAGATGGAGTAGTTAGCATTCTGGTCTCTGCTCCAGATGGAAGTCCTCACAGTCTGGTTCCACCACCTTACTGTGTTTCAAAGTTCATGAGGGGGATGCTCTGCAGGCTGAAGGAGCTTTTGAAATAGCCTGTGGAGCAGACAACAGTGTCCATCAGGTTCAGCTTGATGTCTGGTTGTGGTATGACTCCACCACCCCGTTTTAATCAGCCATTCTGTGTTTATAAAAACCCCTCTGTAATTGTTTTAGCAATGCCAGCTCTGTTGGGTCAGGAAAGTGATCTTAATAAGACCTCTGTCTCTCTTAGTGATGTGTCTGAGTCGTTGCTTGATAAGTGTCTGTACACCAACAACTCCCCTGACCCAGAACTCCTGATTCGAACCTCGGGAGAGGTCCGGCTGAGTGACTTCTTGCTCTGGCAGGTAAAGTCTTTGTTTTCTCTTGGAGATATTCCATTTCTGCATCAGTATTCTGACTCCAGGTGTGAGCTGGCATGAGGGCTCTTAAACTTTCTCTGCCAGGGGTTAGGTAACTTCTTGGATGGGCTGAGTGCAGGGGATTCACCCAGGTGAATCATTGAGTGATTGCTTAAAATACCTCGCAGTGCAAGTCTGAAATTGTTTCATCCTGAAAACACTTAACAGGAAATCATGAATGAGTCTAGCTGACAGCAGTCAAGGAAATCATGAACTGCTCATCCTTTTTGCTCCTTTTCTTGCATGTAGGTAATTCCTCGTTTGACTGGTAAACTGGCTTTGAGTAATTTAACCTGGTAATGTTTTTCCTGGGGTGAGGAAGTCCCAGGAAGGATTTGGGGATTCCTGGGAGAGGTTTGTCACACGTCAGCTGGAGGCGTAACCCTGTAATATACATGTGATGTGTGTGCCTGGCTGGTCACAGTTTCAGAAGTTTATTTGACTTTCACAATGAAACAAGACCTTGAAAGACAGGTTCTAAGGATGGCAAAGTCAAATCAGTGTGAGTAGCCTGCTAAGCTAAAATGTAGGAAGTTCTTAACACATATAAAATTAATCTATTTACAGTTAGAGTATCCAAAGCTGCTTCCACCTCTCTCTTTCCTGTGCTAGGCAATATTGACTTGTTTGTAACCCAGACTTTGCAGGAGAACCTTGAGTTGGGCTGCTTTATTTGAAGCTAACATTTTGTAATAAGTATAGGCTGGAGCCAAAACCCAATTTCCTTTAAGCAACCACATCAAATGTACCTATTCCAAGTTAATTGGCAAGTTCACAGAGTTGTGGTTGCCTACTGAGGCATCTCCCTCTGCTCCCTGCATTTTTGGGTGAACCTCTGACCTGGGTGGGTGTCAATGCTGGGAACTAATGTTTCACTCACTGCTGTTGGTGGTAGTCCTGGTAGAGGATCCTCAGAGACTGAGCCTGTGCCTGGTGGAGTGCTCCTGAGGAGGTCAGAGCTCTGTGTCTGGCTGGTGTGCTGCCCCTCTCCTGGGCTGTGGATTACAGAAGTGGCAGAGGAAAATGTGTGTTTGTGCTCCCGTTCTGCCAGCTCACATTTACCTGAGACTTTGAGAGATTTAATGGTAAAAATAGGATTTAACTGGAAAAGTTGCATCCTTTCAGCTCTCAGTGCACCACAACCCTTTGATTCATTAAGTATTTGAAATGCTGTGAGTGGGCAGCAAGGAATATCACGAGGTGTCGTTCAGGGAATGGCTTAAATGTCACATCCTGATCCTCAGTTCATCTGTTGTTCCCTCACCTCAGCCTTTGGTAGTCTGGTGTTGCTGTTTTAGTTTTGTTCCAAGCCTGTGATGCTTAAGCTATTAAATTATCCCTGTGAAGACCAATGTAGCATTAGAAAGACTTCTGGGGTCTTTGCAGCAATGGCTGACGAGTGTCCCAGCATTAAAAACTGACTAAACTCTGCCTTGTGCAATTTCAAACTCTTCTGGCTGGTGTTTGTTTCAAGTTAAGCAGAATCTGATAACACAGCCTTTGTGGGGGAACCAGCATGGTTCGACCAGCAGAGCTGCCTCTTGATGACTTTTCCCTCACTAGATGATTAAGTTGTTGGTGATCTTGCTTTCTGCAGACATCCCATTCTTGCCTGGTGTTTCAGTCAGTCCTGTGGCCAGAATATTCCTTTTGGAACCTGTGTGAGGCCATCCTTCGGTTCCAGATGAACTACAGTGCTCTGCAGGTAAGGGAGCCTTAGGGAGATGGAAAGCTCAGCACGGCCTGTTACCTGCACAGCAGTGTGCTGGAGATCAGGTGAGAATCCAAAGTGGAAACAGAGGAATTGTTTGTTTTCCTGCACCTAGTCCTGTTTCAGTAGCAGCTCGTGCCTGGTGTGTTGTTGCTTCTGTTACTCCCTCTTCCTATTCACATTGTCACTGTTCCTCTCCTCTTAGATTTGTTGTTGTGAGCTCTCCCTGACTCAGTTCAGATAAATCTGACCAATTTAGTAGTGGCTTAGTAATCTGGCCATTTTTAAGCAAAATAAGTCTGGGAGCTGGAGCTCTTGATGGGGCAGCAGCTTGTAGCACAAACAGCAGTGACTGGCAGGAGGAGGAACTTAGTGTGGTGACTCTTCTCTCCACTGCATCTTGTTGCTGAGTGTGTCTGTTCCTTAATTATTTGGGTCCTCTATTTTTAAAGACAAGCATTTTGTTGCCCTTTTCTACCCTCAGGGACCTTGCTCACCTCTGAGAGCTGTTGGAAGAGATTACAGACACTTGTCGTTATGGGTGAATTTAATCAGATCCAGACAATCTGGAAGCATTAAAATTCTCCATGTCCTTAACCTCTTTTCTTCCTATTTCTGCCCCAAATCTGCCCTTTTCCTACCAGCAATTCATTGTATTAATACAACTAATGGCAATTCACCTTCTGCATGGAGAGGAAAGCAAAAAAACACAGCAGTGTTTCAGTGACATGAGCTTTGCCTCTGTCTTGAGCAGTATTGAACAGTAAGGTCACTGTTCTGACTTTGCTCTTAGTACTGAGTTCTGATGGGTAACAAATGCTGCTTCTGTTCCTAGTGAGTCTCCTCTTTTCTTGGCTCTTGTTTGTGGCTCTGTGTGTTCATGCTAGGCTATTGTCAAGGTTTCCTATTGTCCTGATCTGTTCTTAGGTCAGCTTTCTTGCTGTAAGGCCCTCTTTGGAGTATGTGAGGCTGCCCTTTTTTTCAAGGGATACAGCCCAATTGTGCAGAAGGGGAGGACTTCTCACTCAAAGGAGCTGCTGAGATTCAGGAGCTGGGTTTTTATCTGTGTATGTGTGTTTGAAATGGGTGATCTTGAAAGCCAAAGTATCTGGAGCTCTTGAAACAAATGACCTCTGGGGAAGGATTGCTTGTCAGTGAGTATGGTGGGGCTGGGGCTCGACTTAATGAGAAGTCAGGATATATGACAGGAGCTGTGTCTGCTTTGGGAGAGTGCTGCAAAAATAACATGATTTAGGGGTGTTTGACAAAAGAGATCCTCCTTCTATCAACTGGAACAGCATAATGTTTAATAGCCATCTTCATTTCCAGTTAGCTTGAGCTCAATCTGCTGCTCAATCCCAGGATCCCAGCATGACAGGGATTGCAAAGGACCTCTGGGGATCATCTCATCCCACCCCCCTGCTCCAGCAGCTCACCCACAGCAGGGTGCCCAGGGTCACATCCAGGAGGGTTTGGGATCTCTCCAGAGCAGGAGACTCCACAGCCTCTCTGGGCAGCTGCTCCAGGCTCAGCCATCCTCACACCAAAGATTTTTTTTTCCCTTGAGGGGAGTCTACTAGCAGGTTGTTGCTCACCACATAGTCCCAGGATCAGCTCCAGCCTGCTTTGTGTAGACCTAGGGAGAGGATGCAGGTGCTGTTGGTGAACCTGCCCAGTGGAGGTGGTCAGGTCGTGCTGAGCCTCTCCCAACAAACAGAGAATTTCACTTTGTTCAAGGGTAGAAGTCTTACACTGAACAGACCTTTGTGTTGCAAACAAGCCAGGCTCCAGCAGTGGAGTGCTCCCAGTTCGTGGGCTTTCTGTAACTAGGGTTGTTTCTGCTCTTGTTCCCAGCACAACAAAAGCTCATTTACAGAGCCAGAGCATGGACTAGTGACCTGGGCACAGGGAAAGTGGGGTGAAGAGTGTCAGGCTCTCATTAAAATAATAATTTCTTCTGCTCCTTTGAAAGGCCAGTGCTCCTTAAGTGTGTGTGTGTGTGAAGTTATGTCACGGTGACCTGTTTTCCTCCTTTTAAAAATGAAAGCTTAACATCCCTGTGTGTGGATGTGTTTTTGCTGTTGGAGGCTGCAGGCTAGGAGCTGTGCAAAAAGAAGAAAACCAAACATGATGTCCTGCAAAAATATTTCAAACACTTGCAGGAGCTGTCCTTGCCTACCCTTCATTTGCCTTTCTCCTTCCCTGTCTCAAGCCAGTGTGTTATTAGATCACAGGCGTTTGGGAATGCTGAGCCCACTCGTGCTTTTATGCTGAAGCTGATTAGCTCAATACCTGATTGTCAGCTCAAAGAATTGCCCCCAAAATCAGTGTTCTGAATCCCCTAAAGCCTTTCTGCCACCCTGTGAATAGGATCAAAGATTCTGTGAGGACACTGGGGAGGGCAGCTTGTGTGCACGGCTGTGGTTTGAGAGGCCTCTTGTATGCTCCTCTTCTCTGATTCCACTATCTGAGGGTTTTTCCACAACCTGTCGTGACCTTTATCTCTTAGAACTCAGAGTTAATGCTGTGAACAGACTCGGGTCTTGGGGAGAAGGTCCAGAAGGATGTCCCTGTGGGTTTTTGTAACCCATCAAGCAGGCTGCCTCAAAGCAGAGGTGGCCTACACAGAGCCACCCTTCCGTCAACCTGCAGATTGACGGCCAAGCAGAGGCTGTTCTGTAACCTGCACTGCCTTGTCTGTACCACGGATGAGCTGGAGGGCCTGGCAAAGTGCTAATGCTCTCCTGCTTTTCACTCTAGAAGGCGAGAGACTCCTACATGGAGGAGAGGAGGCGAGAACAGATGGAAAGGGATCAGGCTTACGTGACCAAGAAGCTGCAGCAGGAGGGGGTCGTGTCCCACGGAGACTCCCGGCGGCGCCGGACGCTGTTGCAGAAATGCAGTGCCATGAGGGAGGAGAGGATCCGGGGCTTCCTGCAGGCACTGGAGCACAAGAGAGCTGACTTCTTTGAGAGATTGTGCACGGTGTCTGCGTGACACAGGCGCCGGGTTGTGCTCGGGAAGATCATTCCTAACCACCTTAGAGGGAGCAGCTGCCGCCCGGAGGAATTCCCTCAGTGTGGTTCTGCAGTGGGGATGCAGGGCTACTGTAGGACTCTGCATCCCTGCTGGCCCTGTCTGGGGGCAGGGAGAGAGTACTGTGAAACCTTTGTAGTTCTGTGAATGCTGCTGAGGAAGGTGATGCCGTCCTTGTCTCCTCCCTGCCTCACTGATGGAGAATACACACACCCCACCGTGTCCCTGCTGCTTGGTACCCCGCAGGCCTGACTGTTTGGGTCACAAGAAGTTAATTAAAATGAGCCTCCAGTTCTGTTTGAGTCCTCATGAGTGGGCCCAGGCAAACCAATTCAGTCCTCCTAAGTCAGTCTGGACCTGGATTCTTGAATTCTTTCCATGACTTTGCAGTAGTCAACCTCCTGTTGAGGTTTCCTCTGCTGTCCACTAAAGGGGGAGGGAGGGGCTTGCTTCCTGTAGGGATGGGATTCAAGCAGTGGCAGAGATTCCTCACTGCAAATTCCCTGATAGCATTTTGTCTTTTCCCCACCTTATTCTGTTGGTTTTGATGTTTCTGCTCTTGGCTTCCAAGGAGCTAAAGGACAGAGGGGTCAGCCTTGCCATAAAGAAAAAAAGCTACTGCAAAGCTTCAGCAGGTCCTGTGGTCCCTTCTGAGCAGCATACAGGGGGAAAACCCAAATTCTAAAGGTTCTGGTGTTGGGACAGACTGACTGTGCTTAAGAAAGGTTCCGTGCTGAAAAAAGGGTTGTTGGGGATTAACTTTATGGCTTAAAAAGGAAAAGTTGGCTAAAATCAGGTGATGGATACAGTATGTTGAGTTCCTCTGAGGCCTCTCTAAAGCTCAGAGTGAACTTTGTTTCCAGGGAATGAGGGTGGGCTCTGTTCAGGAATACAGTAGCCAAAACCAACCTCTTCCCCCAGCCAAAATGGTTTAGAAGGGCTGTTGAGCTGATTTTAATGGGAGTGGCCGGAGCAGCTGCAGAGCCTTGTTTGTTCTCCATTTTTCCATCAGCAGGGAGGTGGACCAGTGAATTTCCAAGATTGTTTCCGTCCCCATGGTCCAAATAAGAGAAAATGTCTTGATTTTTGCTTCTGATGCACACACGGGTGCAGCAGTACCAGCTATTGCTGTTTTTTAAAGTGTTCCTGTTTACCTCCAGGTGAGAACTAGAAAATGCAGATATAAAAGATTTGTAAGTGCTGCAATCTCAGCTCTTTGAATGTTAAAGAAGATAACTACATTGTCAAGTCACAAATAAAGCCTATTCCTACTAAAATTATTTAAAAAATAAGCTGAACATGTAAAGTACTAGAGCTTCTTACTCTAAGGTGTGATGAAGTCGGTGTCCAGATCTAATATAATGTTGTTTAACCTGGGTCAGACTCCTCATCTGGTTCCCGTTAGGTGGAAGCCATTTGAAGGCTGTGTTCTCTTTACAGTCAGATGTGAGGAGTTTGCTGACAGCCCAAGGCCTGGCCGGGTGCAGCTTCCTGCATGTGCCTCCTGTTCTGTGAGTATCCTGGGTAAAAGTGTCCCGAGATGATGGGAATCATGGGGTTTTCAACTTTTGCTGTGTTTTATTTTCTCTGTCTTCATATTTCAGGAAGCTGTCTGTGGAAGTGGTTTACCCCCCATGAGAAGGAGCACTCTCCAGTCTGCTTTGCCAGGCTGGTGGGGACACTCTTCTACCAGAGAATGTCTTTTTGCCTTAGAAAGCAGGTTTTTTGGTTGTGTTAGGATGATACGGGTGACTGAAGCTACAGTGGTGGGTTTCCTGCTGTTGCAGGTGTGATAATTGAAGGATCTGGTGTACAAAAGACT